ACTATTCTAGTTAGGTAGATAGATATGAAGAAGATCTTATTAATCTTATTTTAAAGTTTCTCTCAGTTAATATTGAGGTATAAGTTTAATTAGATTATAAAAGTCTTAAGCTTTGATTAATTATTATTAAATAGTTCTGGTAGTCAGACCTTGACAAACTTAACTATTAAGTATTTCTTAAACTACTAGTTTTATTATTTTAAGATACTGATATTTTCCTGTAACTAATTAATTATCTTTATTAATTTTTATATTATTAGTATATATACCTGTTACTGCTATTTTCCTCTACTGATATTTAAGTCCTGTAGTGAGATATGTAGTGTACTAGAAGTTATTAATATAATAAATAATTATAACTGATAATATTTATACTGATAGTATTTAATATATTAAATCCTAGGATTATTTTCCTGTTCTTATTAGTTTAGCTTTTACTAGTATATATACTATTAAACTGGATCAAGATAATATCAGACTAATAATTTATCTAAGATACTAATCTTAAATAAAAAAAGAAAAATAAAGCTAGATAATACTGCACAGTTATCTGTAAGTAAATATAGATAAGTATTATATTACTAAGCTTTTAAGAATAGATTACTTAAAGATAATATAGATTAAATATGAAGAATAGGATTAATTAAATAAATAAATAAGTATCTTTATATATTCTATCCTCTGTATACTAAGTAGTATACTTTTCTATATATTATATACCATATACCATATACCTATTCATGTACTATCCCATATACTTATAATCATGTAATACATGGCTGTTCTGGGCATTATAAGAACAATCCAGAATTCTCCTTGATAAGAGTTTCTGTTTATTTGAGCACTGCCTTTATCAGCGCTTTCTGCCTAGCGAGTCCGCCTTACTAGCAGGTCAACTAGCAGGGGTCTGTAACAATTCTATCACAATTCAATAATTTCTAAAGAATATCTATCTTAAAATAATATTATGTCAGCTTCCTGATTATTTATAAAGTCATGATTTTTAATGATAATTTATAATTTTATTCTTAGATAAATAATGATTGTTTTTAAATCAAATATAGATAATTATATTATATATTTAGTATATTTAATATATTCAATTTAAAAATATAAAATACAAAAGTTTATATTTGATAATAAGAAAATATCTAATATATATATAAAATATATATACCTTTGATCTATATTAAATAATCAGCCCCATACAAATTGCAGGAATCCTAAAAGAATCGCATATGCGATGCACCAACCCCAGTGGAATAGGCCCTCAATGACTGGGATACGTATTCCGTCTCGAGCACACGGTACCAGCCAGTATGTTCGCCACCATTACCCTCTGTTTACAATGACTACTGAGCAAGAAACCCTAGCTAACCTTTTCTGGGCGTGCTGGTCACCATTGCCTAGGAACTCATACTCATTAGACCCAAATCAACGAGACAAAGATAATTCAAATGGTTAATTGATCACTTTCCAAATCGGGCTGGGTCCCTCCATCACGAGGAACGGAACCAACCAACGAGTGCCCCGAGTCATGAGACAGTTGGCTGTCTCCGCACTCCGAATTCCTGAATACCACGGAATACCCTGATAATTCACAGAGGAGCATAAAGATCAACTCAGTCTCAACTTTTGGTGGTTGCCATCTGTTGCCACCTGTTGCTTGCCGGGCAATCCACTTGCTGGCATTCCGATCGCTCCATTGTTGCACTCTAGCCGCTCGCATTCTAGATTTTTCCTGACATTCCTGGTTCTTGTATACGGGGACTTCCATTGCGAACTTGCACGGCCGTCCTGGATCGGCGTATTGCCAAGACCGCCATGTCCCCGGTTCGGGCATCTCTCGAGTTTGATTGGTCCATGTGAACCAAGCCAGACCGTCGCCAAGACTAAAGCAGACTGGCCAAGAAGCTTTCGCGGGGCCTGGAAACCCTCCCCGTGCGTGTGTGGAGATTCTCTCCACGGGGAAGCGTAGCGTCTCGTACAATGCAGAGGTCAATTGACTTCGAACGTAACGCAACTGAATGATGCAAGAAATGGATGGTGTTTTTGTAACCGCGAAATGCACCGCATTATGGGGCTATGGAATGGATGCATTTAGTGGTGCATTTAGGTCCCAAGAGATCATTAAGTCGGTTTAGTGGTCAATACCTGCCATCTACTTGGCCCCAAATTGGTTTTGTGCCCGGAGCAGGCTCCACACAATTTCCCTGGTCGCTTTGCTCTGAAAAGCCAGGATGGTATCTAGGGGCAAGGTCCATTGGATGGGCCCTTACGCGATTGCAACACTCCCACGAAGACTACCCCACTGTGCCCTTTTGCGTTTTCTCTTTGGAAGGTTTGGAGTGTGTCATTCAACCCCACACGGACCGTCTTGGCGACCAGGCCGACTCTGCCCAGTTTGGGCTTAGATTGCGTTTCGGATGGTAGTTAACTCCCGTCATGTCCATAATTTGATTGCCGGCAGGCTAGCACAGCCGGCCCCCAAGTGCTTAGCACTGTTATCCCTCTGCACACACTGTTGCAGTCCTCAATATCTTATTATACATGGGAAGGATCTCTCCCTTCTTTGTTAGACAATCATGAATTCGATAACTCCTTAAGCGACGGCTATATTATTCAAATATTCCCCCAATGAAAAGGGAGCTGCGTCACCAGCCATCGCGGTAGATTTGTTCGCGTCCTCTGGCAGTATTCTCTATGGAAACGACACTGGGAACATGAGATTAGCTAATGAAGATGCGAAGCATTCAGAGTTGGCTCTGGAGGATGTTGAAAAGGCCTAATCAGCCAAACGGTCCCCACAATGGAGTTAGCAGCACCGATATCGAAGCACCAGCGAGTTTCTTCGGGGAAACTCAAACTCTCACCCCGCAAGTTGACCAACGGCAGCATGGGGCCAAATGAACTAGTAATTCTGGTGTTTTTGAAACTTCTTAAAGCCGTGTAAGTTCGTGTCTCAGATACAAGCACTACTGTAGAACGGCAAATTTTTCCTCTGGAAATTGAAGCCGGTAACGGCTAAGCAAGATGCTAAATCGCTAAAAAGGCTGCTGTATCTGATCAGTATATTCCCTTTTCTTAACAGGGTTTTTATTATTAAGGTTGGGTGGCGAAATCTTGATCTCGTCAAAAGCGCGAGTTGGGTTGGGTTTCGCCGCTTGACCCAGAACCCGCCAAGATAACTAGAATGGGGTGCAGCGCAGTCATTACAGCGAGCATACACGCCGGATACCCAGTCGCCAAAATTTTACCTACACCGCGAATCACATCGAGTTCCGGCCTCATCCGGCTTCACCGAATTGGACAGTGTAATGTCGATAATTCGCCCTACTTCTAGACTGGCTTCTGCCACTACCTTCAACAGCTGCCAGGGAATCATCCTGGACCGCGCATTTTTTAGACCTAACCCTGCCGGTATTTGCACACGGCCAACTTTAACTAGCTTATCCCGCGTCTGGTCCGCCGTAGACATTCGTACCATTCTCCGAGACCCAAATGAGATAAATCAAGTCACTCTTAATGTAGTTTGTCACGAATTGTTACTGCCTTTCTGACCGTGAATAAGCTCCATGCTATATCCTACACCGCACCACGTGGCAGCGGCCTGAGGTCGCTGCGAACGCGACTCTTCGGACAATTATATAAATTACCGTCTGTATTACTACGTCTGTCGTTTCGATTATATGTGCTCATGGGCCCCTGGCGGGTTAGTAGGTACCCGTCCGGCGTCCCGAAAAGCAATATGAGGAAGTCTACGCACCAACAACTTCCGGAGAAATATCGGTGCTTTACCCAGCTTCCTCACGCGGAGCAAGCCCGAAGAAGGGCCCAAACAAAGCGGGATTGAACACGGTTAGCCGAGAACTCAGTCTGGCTTTACAGAAGCCTAGCAAGTGGGGCCCCGAAGTAGGTACGAGAGAGATTACGACGCAGTTAGACCCTTCGCCACCTCTCCCCCCGGGGAAGTACCGTCGCTGCGAGATTAATCGCGCAAAGGGTGCCGAGACACCCCGTGGAGAAGGGTTGTCTGGTCCGGGGCAATGGGCTGCTGGCGATACAGGACGAATTACGTATTATTGCCTCGCGGACGTATTCACGCTCTCCGCAAGAATGAATTGGAGCTGCTGTGGAATGAACTAACGCGGGATTCTTTGCAACAACGTCATACTTGAGATCCCCTTTGCTAAGCTTAATCTTTGCTTTTCTCTAGGCCTAGCGATCTTCGAGAACCTTGGATATGGCCGAGAAACGCCCAGATGTTTTGACCCCATGGGGAGGCACACTTATATACAAAGTTATCGCTTAGTATTTCTCAAATACTTCGAGTAGTCTAACCATTACATATTGTGGCAGAGTACTTAGTGTGCTACCAGTTCCGACCGGGCAGTCTTCGGAGAAAATCACACGGGTCCCAGTCAACCCCGGTCCTGCTGAGCCGTCCGACTTGGCAATTGGGTGTGAGCCCGTAAACTTATGCCCATGCACGTTCCTTCCGAGCGGGGGGGCATGGAAGTTTCTTTGCTAAATGGACTCAGAGTATTGGGGGCGTCGCTCATTTACTACTCAATCAAGTTAGGCATTTTGGGCCTTGAGGGTTTCCGGGAGCTCCGTATTTCTTACGACCCTACTTCTGTTAGCTGTTCAAGGACCCTTGACGTCGAGCCTTCCACGCTCGCTGTGATTAAAAGAACCTTTTCTCCATGGCCTGGGTTGGATTTATAGTTGTTAGGCGCATTGCGTTTCTTATTCACATAACCCCATAATAATATAAACCTAATACACATTGATGCAACCGAGTTTTTTCCAGAAGAGAAAGGAAAGACTTCATTATCGGATACTCTGGGGACTTGTGGGGTCGAGGAAGTGGGGTCTGGGACATGGAGCCGGGGATTGGAGAGAGGTACAATGGTACGGAGTACAATAATCCGCAGACAAACTTCTCGGCGAAACAGGCAATATATAGAGGGGGCATTCGAGTTGCCTGACTTATTTTTCTTCCATCCTGACCACACATAATCCTTTTATCATCTAGATTCGACAGACTCGAAATGAGCGATAACTATGAGGAAAAGCCTGACGCCATTGGCAAAGAGTTCAGCGATGAACTCATGCCCGAGGAGCGTGAGCACGAGATCGAGGCACGCAATCTGCAAAGCAATCAGTATCTTGACAACGAACCACTGTATGACCGGATAGCGTTCGCACAGATACCAGTGCACATGAAGAGCCCTCGCATGCTAGTTATCACACTGGGCGTGTTTGCGGCGTTCAGCGGCATGCTGAGTGGGTTAGACCAGTCGGTGATCTCGGGCGCGCTGCCTGGTATCCGGAAGCATTTCATCGCGTCAGGCGAGTGGGCGAGCATGGACGACCCGAAACTGGCGACCGACATTTCACTGATTTCTTCACTGATGCCGCTGGGCGCAATGGCCGGCGCGCTCATCATGACGCCGCTGAACTTCTACTTTGGACGCCGAAACTCGATTATCATCTCGTGTTTGTGGTACACACTGGGCAGTGGACTGTGTGCAGGCTCCCGTAGTGTGGGTATGCTGTTTGCGGGCCGATTCATTCTGGGCATCGGTATCGGAATCGAAGGCGGCTGTGTCGGTATCTACATCTCCGAGTGTGTGCCGCCAGAGGTGCGTGGCAACCTGGTGTCGGTATACCAGCTGATGATCGCATTCGGTGAGATCATCGGATACGCCGCCGGCGGCGTTTTCTTTGACATCCCGTCAGGCAGCTGGCGCTGGATGCTGGGCTCGTCTCTCTTGTTTTCAACGATCCTCCTGGTTGGGATGGCCTTCCTGCCAGAATCACCGCGCTGGCTGGCATCCAAGGGCAAGTACGGGCGCGCGTGGCGGGTGTGGAAGTCGCTGCGCGACATGGCCGACCCAAAAAGCCTGGACGAGTACCTTGCGATGGAACTTTCAGTCAAACATGATGTCGACCAGTCCGCGAACGAGAAATGGCATCAGAGGTATCTGGAGGTGTGCAGGACGCCGCGCAACCGACGGGCGCTTGTATATGCCACGGCTATGATATTTTTCGGGCAGATGACGGGCATCAATGCGGTGATGTACAATATGTCAAACTTGATGGCCAAGATGAACTTTGATGACCGCGAGTCAGTGCTGATGTCGATGGTGGGCGGTGGCGCGTTGTTCCTGGGAACAATTCCTGCTGTGTTCACGATGGACAAGTTTGGGCGCCGGGTCTGGGCGCAAAACATCCTGATGTTCATCGTGGGTCTGGCGCTGGTGGGCGTCGGCTACCTATACACGAACAATGGTGTTGATTATTTCAATGAGCACAAGGCAACGGCCTTGGGGTTGTTTTTCTCCGGCCTGGTGCTGTACATGGCGTTCTTCGGGGCATATTCGTGCCTGACCTGGGTAGTGCCAGCAGAGAGCTTTGGTTTTAGCACCCGCAGCCAGGGCATGGCAATCTGCTCTGTATTCCTTTATCTGTGGTCATTCATTGTGACATACAACTTCGAAGGGATGCAGAAAGCGATGACCTACACCGGCCTGACAATCGGTTTCTTCGGCGGCTTGGCCGCGCTAGGCTTCTTTTACCAGCTGTTCTTTATGCCCGAGACCAAAGACAAAACATTGGAGGAGATCGACGAGTTGTTTCTAATGCCGACAAGTAAGCTGGTTGCGCTGAACACAAGCAATCTGCTTAAGCCCTTCCGGCGGCGATACCGGCCAGAGCAGGTCGACAACTACAACCCCTAAGTAGTTGTTCTTTTCACTTACCAGACCAACGTTCATGGTACCAATAAAGAGCGACAAGGTTACTCAAGTTGAATGTAATGAAATCATGAGGACTAATACATCGCTGCCATTGCATAACACATGTTGTTCCAATCAAAGAGGACGCAACAGCGTATAGCGAGATTCTGCATATCTGATAAACATGTTTACCACCTACTACCTTCCATGCGAAGCCTATCATCTGATCATGATTTGACTTCTGATTCTCTTTTTTTATAAACCTGATATAAGAAGTATCAACGCTCACAGTCTCAACAGCAAGTTTGGCCGGTCCCTGATAAAAGGCTCAACACTGTTTCTGTAGCCGCTCTTCACCCGCAGGCCTCTTGTGAAGCGGAACGCCTAGGTAAATAAAAAAAATTACTCATAGCATAGAAGTAATTTCTTGTCGGGGCTAATACGGCCCATTGGTATGGGTTAAATCAATAGGCAACTCCATCCATCCCGGCTCATCAAATGCGACGTGCGAATTATCGTCAAGTGTCTGTGTCCAGAGGTCCTCCAATTTCACCTAAAATAATTTCTCTGGACGCTTCAGCACAATTTGTGGCACGACCACTCTCACACTGGGAGTCTCTTGTTATAAGAAAAGGCCTCCAGAGCAAGGAGAAAAGGTGGTACATCAGAGTGGAGATTTGAACGATTGCAGATCCACAAGACCCACAACCCATTTTCTAGTAGGGAAATCTTCACAACGGGACAATGGTCAAATAATATCTGATAAGTTTCTAAGTAATATTAATCAATAAAGTTTTATATATAAAATATAATAATATAATTATTATTTCTTTAATTAATTATTATGTAGAGTTATAAGTATTTAAAAATAATAATATATATTTCTAAATTTAATTAACAAATATATCAGAAATTTAATTAAATTAATATATATAATACAAATTAAAATCAGATTAATATTATTTTCTATAGATACTAAGCTTAATTAAGTCTATTAAATATTATAATAATAAATATTACTCTATTTAGTGTTGGATTGGGTCAGGTTTAGGTCAAACTTTTTGACCTGACCTATGGGACCAGATCAGTTAATTAAAATCTATTTTAAATTTAATTTAATTTATATAATACTTATTTAAGTAATACTTATTAGAATAATAATTATTACTAGAATAATTTATTTTTATAATAATTCATAGATCTAATTAAGCTTAATGCCTATAGAAAATAATATTAATCTAATTTAAATTTCTATTATATATATTAATATGCTTAAATTTCTGTTATATATATTAATTAAGTTTAGAAATATATATTATTATTTTTAAATCCTTTAACTTTAAAGAATAATTAAATAAGAAAATAAAAAATATATTATTATATTTCTCATGCAAAGCTTTATTAAATAATATTATTTAGATATTTATCAGATATTATTTGACTGTTGTCCTGTTGTGATGATTTCCCTACTAGACTTGACGCATCCCTACCACATAATCCTCTATATGGGGTCGCATACACAGGTGGCTTTAGCCTGTTCTTGCGCCTGGTGCAAAAAGGAAGCAATGGTCTTAGACCCTAAAGGGAACCTAAAGAGCATAATTGTATCACTGCTCACAGTCCCAACGCTGCTAAATTGAGGAGGTATCTGTGGGTCTCGGGGAGCTCCCAGCATCCAGTAAAAGTATGAAATTTTGGAATTACAAAAGACCTTGGTAAGGTTTATGCGGATACGTTAAAGCAAGGATTCACGTCTTTGGGCAAGTGAACGGTATACAGCAATAGGCCAGAATTATATTGCGATAGGAACAGACATGGATCGTAGAGCACCCTCACTGAGACTTCGAACGAAGATCGTGTATCTCGGGATACTCTTCTGCCAGCCTTTTCAGCTCCGCCTCCTTCTCCTCCTTATTCTCAATTTGCTGAAGTTGCGCTAACTTCAATAACAGCGCCATTCGATGCTCATTTTCCGCGGACCCAGGTTGGTTTCGTTTAGGGGGTAGGCTGATTGTCTCATTATAAAGCTTGAGTGGCTAGTTTGGATCAGTCAATAGCCATTAAGGGTACAAGAAAATCAATGCTTACTGTGCTTCTCAGCTTGTGGAGAGACCGAAGTGAGTACTCAACTCCCGCAAACGAAACAACGTAGCCCTGGCTTTTCTGCATGCCATCAGTATCCAATAGTGGGATGGTAGAGCAACCTGCAAATACCTCGTTCTTGGGATATGTCCACCACCCCTCCCGCTTAAGCTTGTCAAAGGCCCCGGCGCCCGCACCCAGCTTCCCAATCCCCGTAGCGCCCAGGTCGAACGACACGTCAATTTCCTGATTCTTCCCGCTTGTCATCTTGATGGCGCACTCGTCCGTCACCCATGCTCCCATAACTGCCCACAGCCCTTGCGTCTCGATATCACTTCTTCTTTCAACAAGTGCCTTGGCGTTATCCTCCACCCAACCTTTAATCGGCCCCTTAAAGTCCCCTTGAAACCTATAGTTCCGCACCACAGACGACGTGATGAGCGCCGCACTGCCCGTCGTCGACGAGCTTGTTTTAACCTGGACGGACGCCTCAACGGGCGCAGCAGCTATAGCACCGCTGGCTTCAGTGGTGAGGCGGGAACTCCGGCCTGTCTCGGTCTCAGCGGATCCAGCCTGCCAATGGGTCTCACGGACGTCGCGCAGTTTCAAATCGTGGCTAAATGGCTTGAATCCGTCCTTTTCGGCCTGCCCTTTCTCGAGCAGGTTAGTGATTTCGTTCCATTCGCCTGTGCGGTCGAAGTAGCCGACTGAGCCTAGTCGCAGGGTAGAGAACCATTGGGGGATGAAGAGGAAGGTCCCGAAGGAGGTTTCTCGGCCCATGAGGTCGGCGTACTCTTTGCTTTGGCTGGACATGGTGGAGGATATCGCAAGAATTTATTGACTATGATTATAAGTGCGAAGAGAGATTCAATTTTTCTCAGTGACTGACCACCCGTAACGCACGACCGGGCGAGATCCGGCGACTTAAATCTTAGGGAGTCAGAGAGGGAAATCAATGAAGACCCAAAAACACCATCAGACATGGAAAGGATCAACATGATCTAAGCGTTAACAAACATTAGGAAAAGATCTTCTCTTGGATGGTGGGGAACTAAGTCACGGACGCATAGGACTCTTGTAGATCAGATGGTAAGAAAAATTCACTGGAGCTGTATTTTGAGAGGGCAGGAATTTAGCTTGACTATGTAACCTCAGATTACTGCATATTCTCTCCCGCAAGCGAAGGAAAGAAGTTTGTATTTGTCCTGTACCTGTATCTACAGTTGTTAATTTTGTTCAAGCGAGTAGATGATGAAAATAGGTTTGCTTCGAGAGATTGGTGGAGTTCACGAATCCAGATTCAGCTCGCCATCAGACTATCCAAGTGGGGTGAGTCCGGGATATCCTGCAAGTCGATGGTTATGGTAAGTGAGATAAACATGTGGAGTACTCCTTGACACTATGGTCTCCGATGTGATGACTGTGCATATCTGAGCAAGTGCCCTAAACCAATTAGATTGACTGCTCGTCCACATATCACCTGGAAAAACAAGAGCAATTCAGCTGATGATGTCACATTGCACCTAAACATCCTGCCTCCACTACCCACACCTGCAAAACACCACCTACTCCGGAGAACGAGGGGAAGTGCGTGGCAACGTGGGACTGGTGGAAAGGTGGAAAGCAGCAGACGATCTTGCCAGAGCAATCTTGCCAGATCACCAGATCGACCAAGCGATTCTATGGGATTCGATGTATCATTACAGTATTATTATAATAAGTCCTGGGATGTGGTGCAGCCATTACCACCACAGTTTTGCCCAATTAATCGAGCGGTGACCCCGAACAGGGTTAGCATATAACGGGTTTATTTTCCGGGAATCAAGTCTAAAGAGTGGGAGGTCAAACTGAATTCGAAAACGACTGTATCTCCTATGAATCACTGAGTAGACCTTGAGGGTTAGGCTCGGAAGGCCACAATGTCTCAGAGGAGAAACCATTGGAGAGCCATTGATGCATTAGCTCGGTTACCAGAAGAAGTCATGGTTGGGCTTAGCGAACCTGCTTTCTATAGACTGGTTAATTGCCACTGTGGAAGCCGTTCAAACAGTCATATTTGGTGCTATGTAACGAGAATTTCTAACGTGAGGAAGGAAAGGAAGAACCTCAGAGGGGAACGTGCGATCATACAAAGATAAGCGAGCAATGTGATACAAGCAAACAAGACAAACAAAACAAAGTCACGTGACCCTGGGACGTCACTCGCCGTCACAATATTTATTGATTTTGTCAGGATCCTGCCTGGTGCGCTTCAGGCAATGATCCTCTGGCTGCCTAACTCCTAGACTATCCAGTAAAAGACTAGAATTCTGAGTCAACAGACTCAGAACGCGCATCACTTATAAGCGTTAATTCACTATCTTTCATAGTCATGTGACAGTTCGTCACAGATTTAGAATAGAAATCAAGTTCCCTCTACTTAATAAATTCGAAGATTAGATATATACTATCAATTGTAATTTATTCTAGTACAGTCTCCGGTAAATATATATTAATTAAATTCAGAAATAAATATTATTATTTTCTAGTACTTATAACCCCACATAATAATTGAAAAAGAGAACACGTAAGAATTATATTATTATATTTAATATATACAGTATTATTCAATAACACTAGTTTTAGATTTATCAGATAACATTAAAATGTTGTCCCGTTCTGAAGACTTCCTTACTAGAATTTGGCTCACTTATGATCCTATTTTCATGCTGATAAAAGCTTTGTTATCTTGCCTGACTTTATTCTTGGTCCTGCTTTCTGCGTATGCTCATTCAAAGCTAACATAATCCTTTTCAATGTGCCCCAACCAATCCGTAAACGAGACCCAGTCATCTCCGAATGGTACACTGTCCTCCGGCAGGTTACCTAAGGACTCTTCCATTCGCGGAATTCGAAGTAAATCATGTGACGCATTACAAGTAGAGTATGGGAGACGATTTTGCTCAAGTTTTCGGCGGCACTCTTCATCCAAATGGACAAGGATGCAATCCTGGCACCATTGTATTTCCTCGGTTATATCCATGACGCGGTTACAGTCGCCATCGCAAGCGATTTTCTGTTCCATAAAATGTAACGCTACAAGGGCACGCGTTGCTAGTATGTTCTTGATATCACCAAAAGCGATGAATATCGACAGAAGCTGGTTGTATGCGGGTAGGTCGTTTCCTTCATCATCGTCGGAGAGGATTTCAAGGCTTAGCTGCACGACGTTTCGAGCGATCCGCTTCGCCTCGGTCGGATTGCCTTGCTTCTTGTAGTACCGTGCAATATATACCCGAGGCGGGAGACTGACCTCGGCTTCAGGTACGTCCTCGGGGAGAAGCGCTTCAATCTTTTCAAGATAAGCTGAGACGGCTTCATGATTGGGGCCTGCCGCAATGGCTTTTTGCACGTAATTCGGCGCTATACAACTGATCAATGTTGACATGTCAGATGGGTCTGCGCCATCGAGGGCCTGACGCCACTGCTTGATCGCTCTGGACAAGCCGTCCTGTTGTGCCTTGATCGTCCGCCCAAAGCGGTACCGGAGAAGGCTTAATGTAGCGTGCCCTCCACGCTCTTCAACCAGCTGAACGGATCGCTCGTAGGCGCCGACAGCAAATGCGAGCTCCCTGGTATGAAGAGCCGCTTGCAAAAACATATCATGGGGGAACCTTCTTGCGGCTATCAAATCAGACAAGCCCTGCTGTTCCGTTGATCCCTCGTCGATCTTTCGCAGAATCGCAATAAGTTCCACCCAGCGCTTACCCTGGGCGTACGACTCTAAACACCGGATAACGCGAACAATATCAGTGAGATCAGTGTCTACCGCCCGTGACCAGTACCTGATAGCCATATCGGCTTGCCCTTCCTTCCAGCTGAGCTCTGCGGTGATAAACAGCATCTTAGCGAGTCCCACCCGCTCCAGAGCGCTTTGCTTCCATTCGCCGCTTGACACAAGGCGCTCTATGGCAGGCTTCAAAGTCTCGATTCCTTGACTGCCCCCGACTACTTCGGCCAGAAGGGTAGAGGCTTGCCAGTCCGCTCCGTTGAGTGCCAAGGCTTGTCGTGCTCGGGCTTCCGCCAACTCTTTGTGACCATGACTGCTTAAAAGAATGCCTATTTGTGTGTGCCACAAAGCGTTCTTCGGCCCTTTAAGTACTTTCTCGCACCACCTCTCAACACTTACAATTCTGCTAATGGATTCGAGCTTTTCTTGTTCGCTAGGATTCTCATACTTCAGTGGGTGGTTAGCAAAGCTTGATGTGGTCAATCTAACTAGACCTGAAGAGGCAACTAACCTTATCGAGGAAGCCCGCAAGAAATTCAAAAGCATGTTTTATGAACGGTACAAAGTGTGGCTCGTGCACCAGATGCCTCGCCATTCGCATCGCAGCTGGCATCAGCAAGGCTCGGTGACCTTCAGTACGAACTGGACCGGTGATCCACCCACGAGCTTCATCGTTGACATTCAAAATTACCGCCTCGTCATTGAGCCACTGAAGGATGATATCCATACTGGCGTCGTTCAACAATAGTTGACGGACTCTTCGCCGTTCATCGGGTGAGGGGCCGGATAAGCCGTTATTGTTGAGCAGGGTATCGATTGAAGAGTCAACACTAAAGAGACTAACAAGGTAGGGCCCAAACGTGGTCTTGTAATCAACCTGAACCAGGGATAAGTTGACAGCGGAGAGGTGTTCTACGAGATTGCTTCTCGCGTACGATACAAGATCGCTTTGTTGGTCTACCCCTTCCGCGAGAAGGCGTAGGCAACTGAGCGCCATCTTCGCCTCCTCGGTGTTGGGATCATCCTTGTATATCAGTTCTTTATCCCGAATCTGCTTTTCCTGTTCGAAAAATCGGTCGATTTCTAATTTGTTATACGTCTCCTGTGGGCAGACCGTAGATAGGAAATGTTTAACCATGGCCATTTCGCCGGGGGAGACTGCCCCTGCGCTCTGTAGCTGCTCATCCTCCGCTTCCTCCGCCTTGCTTTGGGAACGGCACTTCATTGGGATGGTGTCACCAACTTCGTCAGCCCGGAATTGAACTTCGCCCTTTGTGATCTTGAACAGTGTGTATTTGTACTTGATCTTATCTGGTAGCGTTAGGAGGGACAATTCCCCAACCTTCGCATATAAAGCTGCCGTCATCGCTTTCACTGTCAGAGGCTCCCTGTAGCGTTGAATCCAAAGAATAATCTCGTTGATCTCTAAGATTTCTGTTTCGGAGCAGTGTTTATTGAGTACTTCGATTTCGTTTCTAACTTGCGTCGTGCGTCCCTTGCGTGCATTCGTCAGGGCATGCTCGATCTCGGATTTGTATTCCCGCTTGCTGATATCATCAAGAGCAAGATTGATCTTAAAGTAATCACCCTCGGTTGCCTGATAGAGCTCGTCGCAGACTTTCTTCCGTAGCTGTGATGTTTGGGGGCGTGTTGCATCCCTGAATGCTGGCATGGAATCCATTCTCCACCGGATAAGGGTTTCCACGTCCGGCCGATTTTTTGGGCTGATGGGAATGGAATCGAAGGAGATGCCCTCGATATTAGCCAGATGCTGGGAACATTGTGCGTCGACAGTCAGGAGTATAAGGACACGTCGACCCGGCTGCAGGGCGGACGCGCGTCTTAAAAACCGTAGCATGCCTTCTCCCATCTCACCTGTCAGGCCGTCGATAACAATGTAGAACTGGACGTTCATTTCATGCAGATCTGAGCTTTGAAACAGCAGTTCGCTTGAAATATCTGCTGGATCGAGCTCTCGGCGCTCCTCACATATCCTCGCGACGGACTTCTTATAGAGCCTCTCCATCTGGGTGAACTGCCACACAATGGACTTTGCCGGGGTCTCGAGATTCATAGCATTCTTCACAGCTTGTCGCCCAGTCCCCTCGAAGAAATAATATGCCGTGGAGACTCGGTGACCTGTCTCCTTTGCAGATTTCCTGTGAAGATGATGGATGATTGCCGAGGCAAGAAAGCTCTTACCAGAGCCACTGCCACCCTCGATCGCTAGGATATTAGCTTGGGATTGACCGTTTTCCCAATTGGTAAAGACTGGCTCAGTCATGATCCACTGGCCCGTGTCTGGTAGTCGCTGATTCAATAATTCCCGATACCTGGAGCGCCAGGTAGGCGTCGGCTCACACGCAAGCGCTAATGCTTTAATGATCACTTTTTCTCTATTTACCTCCATGTCCAAGGCGTGCCTCTCAGAGACAAGGCCCTCCACCCTCATGGTCGCACGATATCCATCATGTGCATTCTTAAATGTTTGGGCCAAGACCAACAGCTTCTCTTTGTTGGTCAGTTTGTCCATTTCGTTCAGTAGTGAGCTGATGCCGTTGTCGTTCAGGAACATGACGCGACCAAACAATTTCAATTTTCCTCCGATAGATCCTTTCAAGTCTAAAGCTCTCTTGCATACTTGGACAAATAATTTGAGCAACTGAGCACACAAGTTGCTCAAGTTCTTGTCCATTCGTCCTTCGTAGTAATCTAAGCGGGTTAGGTAATCCGCGCACTGATCGAAAAGGTTATCCAAGGCATCGAATGCACCCTGATAGCCCTTGAAAGTGTCAATGACAAAATTAACGACATTGTAGCAGTCCGCAGCAGGTGCAAAAACCTATCTTTGTTAGCCAACGAGCCTACTATTTTAAAGGTATGTGTTTTACCTTCGATGCTACACTCGCAGCAGCACCACCGATTTTCTGAATTGCACCCAATACGTGTTGAAAGCCGTTCCAAACCTTGTCCTTCCTGCTGCTCGGGGCTTCGTTTAAATTTTTCAGAACATCAGCTATGCCTAGGCTGCCGTCGATGGGTCTCATCTGTGCTTTAGCCAGCTCCTTCACCATGTTGTGGGCGTCGAGTAAGGCTTGTGTATATTCATCGTCCACAGGCATTTCCATAGGCTTTGCGACAATATTGAAGCCGTTGTTGCCAGGGACCTCAGCTCCGTCCGTTGGATGTCCATTTGGCTGCCGCGACCTGGGGGTTGACTGCGACTGAAGCGGCTTCGGTTGTTCCTGCTTCTCTGACAACGGCGCAGGCAGCATTGAGCGGGGTTGTTCTGCAACAGTTGTATTTGGAGGAATATCTTCGGTTTGATCTTTCCCAACGGGCTGTTCCAAGGGAATCACCTTCTTCCTCCTCAATTTGCCAAAAATTGCCATGATGGGGTGTCACTGCTGTCGGGAGGAATTGCTTGTGAACAACCTTCGCATCAATCAGATGGACTCCAAAGTCCTTTTTGTTCCTGTGCTGCGTGCAGGGAGCTCAGCTCGCCACGCATTCGCCTGGACTCAATGGCGCTGTGCGCAGGGGGTTCAGCTCGCCACTCATTTGCCTCGACTCGATAGCACTAATGGATGACGATGACGCTGCTGTGTTGGTTGGCATGTTCACTACTGCATTCGGAAATCTTCGTCTAATTACCAATTACAGAGAAAAATGGATACGTAATCGATTACCTCCTCGTTCTCCTCCAATGGGCGGGTCAATCGGCAGGTCGCGTTTTCGGCCAGCGCCAACCGCCCCACCAACCGCACTAGTATGTACCAGATCAGCGAGGTGATTGGTTAGGCAGATCACCATTCACCCTTTGTTCAATAAAACAGAGTCATCTCAATCCCACTTCTAATCTGTTCATGGTACTTCTAGCTCCAGCCTATTAGAATTTATTGGTTTCTGTTACGGCGATGCAAAATGATATGTAAATAGGCGTCATACTTGTATAAATGTGAGAAACTACTGTCTACTATAGTACATAGTGCTTGGTTGCACAGAATACGCGGTTAACGGTTGCGCATCAATCTAAAGGCCAAGCTCCACACGGTGAGGCGTCTTCAGCTATGATATACTCCGATTAGACTGTATCTCAGTGCCTGTACAGAAGCGTTTCCAGGTACAATTTGGTTCGTGTTTTTGCTTCTCATATTCTGTCCCCTTTATTCTCTTCTGTCACAATTCACAGGCTCTTGCTCGTTTTCTTTGTGCAGGTCTCGATACCATGTTTAAAGATTCCCTTGGATTTCTCAGAGAGCTTCTTCCTCGTCGTCTCCGTGTCGAGTAACAGTGAGGCTTGCGGGGATATCCATGCTCACAAAAGAGGCATTCTGCAGTGCAAAAGACAACCAGAGGTTAAGTTTATCCACGGCGCACAACTGAATACAGACTCAGGGAGACGCACTTCGTGTGATTCGGTAGTTGTGGCCTGCAAATCGCTGGCCGGCTCAGATCTTTTGATGTCAGCTGTAGTCTGGGACTCAGGGTTGTCTGTAGATGGTGTTGTATCCAGCTTGAAAGCATCCTGTTGTTCTTGCTTTGGCTCCGAAGACATGATTGATGGTTAAAGGAGTATGTGGTCACAAGAGTATGATAAAAATCGGTATACAGATAGAAGATGGCAAGAAAGAAGAAGATATCAAGTTAGAAAAGTAATCTGTACTTTTTTAAAGGGATGACTTGTGGTGGCTTATATTCGAGCAGCTGAAGTCTGGAAGGTATCCTTGCAAACTAAGTATGCAACTGTGTGAATGTGGAATGTGGGTCACCAATTCATAACATATCAATCCTTTTTTCTATAATCTCAGCTGAAGATCCATGGTCATGTCGATCTGAAAGGCCGATCCCACGGATATACGTAATGCCTATTACTGGCCGCGGAGAATTTAAACCATAGGTTTGCCTACGGCTATGACGCGCAATTCCAAGTTCTCGCCATTGATTGGGAACCGTAGTGAGTTGCTGGCTTTTTGTTCCTTGGTCCCCACCTAGTCCGTCCGTATCCCATAACCTGGCCCAGCTCCGAGTTCTGTGCGGCTATCACATCATTCGCATTACAGAGATCTAATGGAGGCCAAATACAAGAACTTATTGTGCTGACGTCTGTCTCATCACAGCTATACCATATCCGGGGAGTCCCAACTCAATAATCACTATATTTATTACGCCACTCAAGAAATTGATTCCGTGTTATCTATTCTCATGCTGAGCCATGCACTGAGACTATCATCGCTGTTTATTTCCATTTGTCATTATTGCTACTACAAGCAGCCATTGTGGGGTAGAGCACACATATACCATAATGCCGAATGCAGTGATGCACTCTCCTAGGTTAGGAATGCTACAACCGGATGCAGTGTGTCGCCATCACTTCAGCCCATAGACTACGTGGTAGGCCGAGTACGGTTACATCTGTCATATTAGTGGGTCTCCGGCTTTGCCGAAGATATGTAAGCGAATAGGAACCTCTGAATGTGGCCTCTCATATTCATGACCTGATCTTATACACCATATCCCAACTTTCATACAGTGGGATGCAACGAGTATTTCGAACACCCGTCAGAGGGCCCGTGTGCGCGCTTGACCGCCTACTATATTAGCCATACTAAATCAGACTAAGAGTATTCCTAGGCTAGCTACGCGTTGCGCGTTTCTTGAAGTTATACAACTTTTTAAGATGCCACTAGTCCGTAAGGATCCTGTACTGAGTCCCCAGACTAGATCTCGTATATGCGAGCTTCATTCTATTAATTAAAGGACTCGTCAAATCCATAAAAAACATCCAGAGATTCCAATTTCAGCCATTTCCTGTACTCTTTGGAAAGAACGCCAGGAACAAGGATATATAATATATCTTTACCTCGTTCAGGTAGTTCACGCAATCTCACTGGACAACAAAGACATTATCTGTATATTACAACACAGAATACTCCTCATATCAAGTATAAAGATATGTTAGGGGAAGTCAATCGTATTATCAAAAAGTTGTCAAACCCTAGGATCGCTTCCCTGCCCCTGTTGGCTTAGCTTCACTGGTATACGTACTGTCGAACTGGTTGAGGGGTATTAGGCTGATGACTATTTAAACTCTAAAGGCGATTGCTCTTGGACGAGAGAAGAGAAGTAAGGCCAAATAGTGCCGCGCAGCTATTTATAAGTGCGGATGAGTGTTCTATTACTAAGATTCTAAATATGTGGTTAATGTAAACCACAATCACGCGGCCTATATAATCGCGCAGTCTATATTGTAATGCCATACAAAATCTATTGTTTTTTTTTAGAATTTTTATATCTTAATAAATGTACTTTTTATAAAACTATAAGGTTATATAAAGCCTAATAACTAGAAGATAAGTATATGAGACTTATTCAAAAAATTATAAAAATCTTTTTATATATAATATATATAGACTATGTTAATATATAAGTTAAATAGTAACTAGATATATTTTATATTACCAGCTACTATATATGATTATAGAAATCTTCAAGAAATATTTCAAAAAATTCATAGATACTAATCATACTATAGTTTATATTATTCTCTGATAATATTTATAAGATATTTTATACCAATATACCTCCCTGTTTATGTATTATCTATAAATTAAATATATAAATTATAATGTATACAGAAATTTATCAGATCCCATACTGTAGATGAAGGAATCACAGGACCTAGAATATATTTAAAAAAATAAAATTATATAAAATTATACAATAATAAGAAAAAAAAATTATAACGTCTTTATATAGAATCTATATAGTCTTCATAATTATAAATATTACTAATTAAACAGGAAACAGGAACCCGTAAAAATCTAAGATTTTATATAAAGGTTCAATATTTCTATATATCTAGAAAAATATAAAATATAAAATAAAAATATAAAGAAAAGACAAAAAACAAAATTAAGTAAATCCCACAGGAAAATATTGTCAAAGAAATATCTATAAAATATCTATAGAATTTAGCTATGAATAACTAATTAATTAGCTAGAATTAAAAATACTTTTACATTTGAATTATAATATTCAAGCAATACTTTAATATTACAAAGAATTATATAGGAAAAGAAAAAAAACCCGTTTGATTAGATTCTATAGTTTAGAGACTTATTCCGGCTGCAGGTACCCTGCAAGAACATCCTGGCCGCGCTAGTATTAGGGTAATCCAGTATCTATCTATCTATCTAGCTATCAGTTCCCAGCGTACGTTCGTTTGCTTAAAACAACGTGCTTGTAATTCCAAATCGCGAAGCGAGTCCCTCGAGGAGTTTTGCTGCGCCGGCAAGCGGATCTACTGGTAAAAAGTTGAATTCCATTGTTCTCTTAAGATAAAATAATAGCTGTCCATCGTCCGGAGAGGCTGATATTATGTCTAGATTCATGTCTTTGTTTTCCACAGGTCAAGCAAAGACCGCTTAGAAGAAGGGGATAGAGAATCTGTGTTGGTGGTAGGACAAATGAACGAAGTTTGATGAGCGGAGATTGGCTAATGGCAGACCCCGTCCATTGCCGTTTTATCAAAGTGCTGTAATAGGTATTGAGGTTGATACGGCGTATAGAAAAGCGGGAATACTTCAAGTTTTGGTACCCTGGCAAGAAGAAAAACAACCCGTGACTGAATATGTACACGTGAAATGTGTATGAGAAGCGTGAATCTTGTATTTAGGGAGAACCTAAGGTACTTTTCGTTATTGAGTTGCTACACAAATGTCTATTCATGTCTGTGCCAACAGCAAACCCTGCAATACACACAGAGCAGCGAGAAACCTAGTATACGCCTGCGCCCATGAGTCTAGGTAGCCTCTTTCCACGATTAGGTTGCCACAGTATAATTCCAACCGCGCATAGGACCAGTGCAGTACGCATTTCCTGGGATGAGAAGTCCCGTACAGTTTGCAGACTGCAGGGAAGGATTAACCTGCAAGAACAAATTGCTTGTGATCCTGTCTTGGACACAAATCTGTGTACAAGAATCCTCAGTAGTGGCTGTATGCCATTTCCCACAATGCTTGGTGGTTTCGGCTGCAACAGTGGCATTATCTGGAGGGAGAACCACCCATGAGCCATAGCCAGAACTTTCCGTGCCCCAAGGATTGTAGGACGTAGACACTGGATCTGTCGCGTTGAAAAGCCCCGACTGAGGGGTTAGACACAAGACTTTTCCATAGGCCCAAGAAGTACTTTGAAGATTGGAACAGTATGTATCAATCCAGGGATTGACTTGGCGAAGAGGAATGATTCTCTTCGTGCTATTGTCGAACACGATTTCTGCGTTGGCCTCTTCAATACTACGACATGTGTCGTTCGATTTCAGGACATATGTGTGATCGCATGATAGGGGCAGACACAATTCTTGCCCAACGACGACCTGATTGCAATCGCGTATCTAATCCTGATTACCCATGTACAAGGCTGCGGACGCAACAGAGTAGTCCAGGGCAATAGATGTGCAAGTATCGCCATCCTTAGTTATATATGAGCTGTCATCTGGGAAAAACAGTTTGTCTTCCGGTTAAGTGACAGAAAGATCATCAGGAATTATAGTATTGGAAGTGACACCACAGTTCTTTATGACAGTTTCAAGATTATACTTGTATCGCTGGTTGTAATAAGAATAGGGGCTTGATTATATTATTTAAAGCTTAGTTTTATAGCAATAGGAGCACATCTTATCCTTGGGCATGAGGTCCACGCTTGTAACATGCGTGAACTGGCTTATAACATCTTTCAAGAGGTTAGCGGCATCCAACAATGAATCCAAGAACGTCAATTTTACCATTGCAGTATTTGCCTGTTGTCGGATCCTTGTAACAAGTCTCATTCCATTCTTCCCACATGTTTCCACCTAGAATTATGGCTGGGTGATCAAGAAGCACGGCTCTATTATAATTTGCCTCCGCGTTGGTAAACCATCTCGCTAGTAAATCACCGCAATTTTGATTATAAACCAAGTCGGTCAAAGTATTGTTACCCAATGTGCCATGGTATTAAGTGTCTCCAAATTAGAATACCTGGAGATCACACTTAATAGTAGTAGTGAGAGCAGTGATACAGGCATCTGAAAAGATTGAAGGCAGCATGTTACTGTCATAGATAATAAAACCTTCAAAAACCCGCTGCCCAGTTGTGTTAGTTGATCCTTTCAGCCAAGCAAGAATCGACAACATAAACCTATTTTTATTATTATTAGTGAGAGTGGGTTTCTCATTTACAGGACTAATTATTTTGATAATAGTCTTAATAACCAAGTTATAGATCCAGAGATCTTGACTTTCTTTAATCTCAAAGGCTCGATCTTGACAGTTCTCAGTAGCAAGACAGTCCTGTGAGTATTTAGAGAACCAGCTATACAAGCCTGTGCCAAGTATATAGACACTGGAGAAGTCCATAATCCGGACAGCCCACGAGACCGCACACGTAGCTGGTAAAGAGTTGTGCAGTTGTCAAAGTGAAGATTATTTAGAAATCCACTAGTCACAATAGGCAATGGCGCTCCAGGATAAGACTGGAAATATGGTAACTTAATTTAAATCATACCAGCAATCACATTTTTGGAATTAGAAAACTGGTATTAATATAGAATGTTGTGTTCAGAAGCAGTCCCATAAAGCCAGGTGGGACCTTGACTTTTAATAAGAATGCTGCAACCAGAGAAAATATTAATCTGAGCCTCATCCACAGTATTCAAGTCGTGATCGGTAATCCAAGCCCAGGAATTCTCGATATAAGCAGAGGCTTTAGAAATAATATAAAGGAGGGCAGATACACCAATACAGTCTGTGTTGATACTGCCATCCTTCAGATATTTATTTCCCTGTAGCTCTGAACCTACAGCTCCACTAACCCTAAAATAAGAATCTAAGTAAATATTGTCAGCACTCCAGTTAGAAAAAAGATTTATATTACTGGATTTATTCATACCCCAAAGACCAGCTGAGCCGTGTATAATCTCATAAATATTTTATTAAACTAAAATAGCACCTGCGGTAGCTCCAGACACAGTAAACATTATGTTCTGAATCTCAACTACTCCTGACTCATCGACCTCACCAACCTGAACAACCGGTCGGGCATATAACTGATCTTGGAAATTCTTGTCCTTCCCTATAATCTGTGGCCAAGCCTGTCCAACAATTCAAAATCCAACAGGAATTTTGATGGTATTAGTAACAATATAGACACCATATAGAATATAAACAATAGATGACATATTTGCAGCTGCAGTGAAAATACTGTTTAATACTGTAGTATTATCAGTCACACCGCCACCTTTAGTACCAGCAGTCTTGAGATTGATAATTTAACTCTGTCTGATATTGATGTATTTAGGACATTAACAAGTATAAAAGTTGGGCTTGACATATGCCAGCTCAGTTGATAGGAGAGAGTCAGTATAATTTATAGGAGAGATATTGGCTTCATTGATGAAAGAACTTTCCTTATTTGTATTAATAATTCAGCCAAAGTCTTAATTGTTAACTGGAACTTCGTTACCACCCGCGAGGAGAATCTTTAACGAGACATTATCAATAACAGAATTTTGCATATTAAAGAAACCAACATTTTATAAAAGAAGAGATGTTGAATTCTCGGCCAATAAAGAAATAATAATGCCTGTTGGTGTGTTAGCTATAATAGCATCCACAAGAATAAATAAACCAAGAGACTGTCTGGTGCTCGCAGCTCTGCCTGTCTGGTGATATTTTGTTAGCTTATGGTTCAAGTATATCTAGTATACGAGATAAGATGTAATAGAGTTTAATATACTTTAAAAAGAAGAGAGAGAGCTTATACCTCTAGTCAAAAGTATTCCGGTTCTACAGGACCCAATAACCACATCTTACATTATCCAAGCCCAATCAGAGTAAACTTGGAGGGCCGTCTTGCAATTCACAAACACTAAATAACTTGTAGTGAATTGCTGATTACTAAAATATACTCTAAAAATATAGTCAGCTTTGTGATTAATAAACTAGTGGTGGTAGATTATTTAAATACTTTACATACCCAAAGTTATCCCTAATGAATGTAAGATCAGCTAGAAATCCACCATTGCCATTCTCCATGTAAATACTCTATTATTAAAGTCAGCCAATGAAGAATTCAAGAAGTAGATTCTCTGTTTATATCTGTTGGGTATTTCCTTCGACATTTTACAGCATATAGAAATCAATGTTCTCAAGAGAAGTACCCTGTGTGACTTGCCAGTGAATAACATAGATGTATATTGATTGATCAATACGCGTGATATCCATTTTGAAGTTTCTAATACTTCGTAAGAAGTTATTAGTATTGAGATACCTGTATAAATATCAGCAAATCAGCACCCATTATACATACTCATGCAAATATAAAGTGATAAAGCTAGTACTACTCTTCCGAATCACCAATATAGACATCGGAGGTAATCATACCAAGGCCAACGAAACTCGAAGCAGCTAAAATTGTAGGAAGATTAGTAGACTAAGTTGAAAAGAAGCCAAGTTAGTCTTAATCAAAGACTAGTCAAGAGAATAGATACATACATCTCCTAATAACTGTGTATTATAATACTGAATTACAGGACTGCTGACAAGATAAATACCAGAAGGAAACCAGACGACAGCTGGGTATCTAGTATTAGATTTGCAATCAGTACTGCATTAGTTACTATCAGAGATTGCTTGATTAATAGCAGTAGTATCATCAATAATACCATCTCTTTAATAAATAGTTAAACTGATTATCCCATAATAAAATTTCAGCCTGGATTATATTATATATCTTTAGCTCTATAGTCCATCACGTTTCTCCAGATCTGTTTGTATTATTAGAGAAGTCAATACCTGGTATGGAATATATGGTACCTTGTAGCCTAATTCTGTATAGAGACTAGCATCATTCTTCTCTACACTTGCCATCCAATACAATGAAGTGTCTCTTTTACTAACACCTTCTTCAGTTGGTTCTTGAAGACCGTCTGGCTGTCTGAAGGAAGTGTATTAATCCAGTCTGTTTGAGTGAGATAGCTTCTGGACCATTATATTCATGTCATTTGTACCTGCACTCCATTTTGTGTGAATTTTCGATGTAATAGAGGCATAATCAATGTCCGAAAGGGTTGGCTTCTTAAATTCCGCAACCTCCTTTGCAGCCTTGACAATTGCGGGTGATAAGATATAACCATATTTTAGGTTCGACCCCAGTGAGCTTGAATTATTAGTAGATGAGCGTCTATTCAGCTGAGCCAGTGATATATTCTTTGTAAAGTCTGAGTAGTCTGAAAGCAGGACATCGGTTAATCCTTTGTCCTGGGAAGTATTATCTTGGAATTCTTATTTATTAAATTAAGAATTCTCTACATGAAACTTATTAGTAATTCTCAAAGCTTTCAGAGCTTCTTCAATAATATGTTTAGCAGAGCCGTCAGACTCAGCACTCTCGGTCCTATTATATTGTCGGTAAAGATAGTGGTGGATATAATATCCATGCTGAGAAGCTGATATAGCAGGCAGCCATTTGAACAAGAAAAAGAGACACAAGATCCTGACAAGTGGTCAAAGTATCTCGGCGGCTGCTCTTCAGTTTGTCTAATACAGAGAAAACTGCGTTATTGGTTACTGGAAAATCTGTATTGGAATTATCTGGCTCTATGTGTAATTTATCAAGAAAACACAACCAAATAACCTTTAGTTCGCATTAATCATAGATGGCTAATATAACCCTGCACAACACCTCTAAGACATTCTAAAGACACTAGTTTATTTTCATGCACTCCAAGTAAGTCAAGTATATTCTCTGCAGCTTATTTCTTATGTCGGTCAGGTCCCGGCCTTGTGGGTTGTCTAGGCGAGATATAATTTCCTTTGACAAGGCCGCAGAAGGTGCCCTGAAGATAGCATTAGTTATCATGATTTCTCTATATAAGTCAATTAGTATCATATAGTATACTTCGTGTGGTGGTCTCAGTTCTATCATGAATACTAAGCTGCTAAAATAATAAACTGCCAAGCCTACTCCATTCTCAGGACCAAGATTCAAAGATATGTGGCTTGACAAGAGCTTCATAACTCGCCGAATTTGGCCCCGTCTTGGCATTACCATGCCGAATACTTTCCTATATAAATAACTATCTAATTTAAATAGATATAGTCGCAGTACTACAGTACTGGAACCAGTAATTAGCTGGTACTGCGGGACTTGTTAAAGTCTATTCCTGAGTAGAGGAGCAAGTTACCACAGAACTCGCCTACCCCTAAAATGAGCCACGCTTTTTTATTCTTTGGGAATTCAGGTATTAAAATCTTACCATTTAGAAACAGAGAAGAAAAACAAAGCAAACCTCCAGGGCCCCTAAAATCTAACTGAAAGACCACCCACGTCACATTAGTAAGCGTATAAGTATGCCCGTGTTCTCTAGTTGAGAGCATTTCTGATTAAATATTAGAAATTCAGACTATGGAATGTACTTTGGCAGTATTTCCAAAATCACCGTCAATACTAGTAATAAACTGACGCGTGCTTGAATGAGTTCTCTTACAGATGGAATACAAAAGAAACAATAATAATACTGACAAATATATCTTATACGGGTGCTTGAAAGTTACTATATAGCAGCTTTATTAAATTACACCAAGCTTTTCGCGTCCCCCAGGCTCCGGTAGTTCCGGTAAAACACAATTCAATTCAATTCAATTCAATTCATATTCTTATACCTGATCGAGCCTGTTAAGTAAGATGCTAGCTATGCAGGTGCTTTATTATTTAAAGCAAAGAATATGGCTCTGAACACTGTTAAATCTCTTAAACTTATAGTAAATATTTAAATTATGAAGCAATGCAGGCCATAATATAGAAAGATTATTATTATAGTTTAATATAACTAAATATAATATAAAGGCAAAGTGTAGTCATATAAAAGTAGATATAAATAAGTATTGTAACTGGTTAGCCAGTTATCTGTAAGTTTATTCTCTTTATTCTTCATTTATATTTCTACTTCTAATATATATATTTTATTTAATATATATACTTTTTCTGCTGACTTAAACAGGGTATATTTATTTCTTTTATCCAGTATTTTTAGTACTTATTTTTATAGTTCTGAGACCTATATATTCCTGGTTAAGATTAGGGTCAGAATTAGGATTAAGTTTAACCTGATTAAACTATTTAAGTAAGTTTATTTATAGTATAAACTCAGTAATATAGCAGATTGCTTGCAGGTCTGATATAATTAAATTATAATTAGTAATAGCCTCCAGATTTATATATATAATAATCTTATCAAGTATCTAATTACACAGCTCTATAAAGTAAGAGTATACTAGAAATATATATTTAGAAATCTGGAACTTCTTTTTATAGTTATATTAATTACTCTCTTACACTTTAATCTTATAAAGAAAGTATATAAGTCTAATTCTCTGTATATATATCTGTATAATTATAGATATATATAATTTAGAAATATTTTTATAGAATATCAGTATCTTTTTCTCAGAGAGGACTTTTATTAATTTTTATATTAATATTACTATGTGTCCTACCTTCTATTACTTAGTTTATTTCTTCTAGAACTTACTGTGAATGGTTCTCTTGGCAGTAGATATAAGCTGGATTATTTATTATTCTAGTTTAGTCCTGTATTTTATTACCTACTTTACTTCAGAGTCTGTAATCTTATTTTTTTCAATCTTTATATAGACAGAGATCTAATAGATTATAAGATCTGTATTTTGTAGAGCTCTGAATCTGTTATAAATAATTCTTATATACAGCTGCCTAGATAGGCGGCTGGAGGCCCCTACTGTCTAGATTATAGTCTAGTTATCAGTAAAAATATGGATCTTGCCAGGACTGTATCTCAGTAGAGTGCTCTCCGCGAGGATAAGGATTATCTCGATATCCTTTAATTCAGCCGTATATATGGTTGAATCTGTCTCAGTGCCCAGATACGCCCTCTGGGCTTGTCCGGCGCGGAGGCTGATTGCGGAGGCTCCCACGCCTCCGCGGTAGCCGCTGCCGTCCGTATATAAGATAGCCGAGGCTCCGGTAAAACACACGCCAAGACAAATAGATTCGGACCCTGAAAACCCTTAGATTTAAATGCAGGTAAGGCAGATCCTGGGAGAAAAAAACAAAGATTATCACTATAAGCAATAAATATAATTAAAATTTTTGACAAACATGAACTTAGTTGTCTCTTGCAATAATCTCCCTCCTGAGAAACTTGGAAGAATGTTGTGATTATCACTGATATTATATCTAGAACTACAAATATCAAGCAGGTACTTATTTTAGCACCAAGAAGAAGAAGTACTAGTCAGGGGCTTTAACTAGGTAAACTTACTAGCTCTTTGTTTGGATTAAGTGAGTGGACAAGTATAAGTCAGTCTGAGATCTCTGTACATTTTCATTTAGCCCATTAACAATACTAATAAGATTGCTATGTTACATCGACTAATGTTTTTAATTACATTTAACTTGTTTTAAAGCTAACTTGGCAGTAGTGGGACCATACATAGTAATTTCTACTATAGATGGCAAGGTACTCCGTACAGTGCTGCCACTTTTGAAGCTAATTGTGTGGTTTTTATACTAACTAACTACTCACACGTTTCTGCTCAATCCTGAAAAAGTATTGAAGCTAAGATAAAAATAACAACAATGTCTTAGTACACAGTGGTTTGCTTAAGCTAGTCTTTCTTAGAACTTACAAATGGTACTAGTAGTCCTGGAAAGAAAACTTTGGGATGCCTTTTGTTGTTTACTATTAGTATAATCCCATCATATCTTGGAAGCTTTTCAGGAGTTGGTTTTAGGAGCTATTTGGTGCTTCTATTTTCATTATAAAAACCATAGGCTTCCTTTCACGCCCCCGGCTGGTATATCTTTTATTTTTCCTGTGCTTTCTCATTGCTCAGACCGCAGGACAGAACTGTAGTAAAGAGAATCCCTGTGCAACTGGATGCTGTTCGAAGCATGGTCACTGCGGCACTGGTGATGACTTCTGTGGCGCAGACTGTGTTGATACCTGCGACTACAAGCTAGGTTGTGATGCCAACAACCCATGTGCACAAGGCTGTTGTAACAAATTTGGATTCTGTGGACTTGGACCGGAGTGTAAGTACTCAATGAGAAGTTTTTGGATCGCTACATACTTGGTTTTCAATATCTAACAAAAGCCCTTTCTTAGTCTGCGGAGATGACTGTGTTGCTAGCTGTGAAAGAAAAGCAGAATGTGACCCGGGCTTTGGGTTAGATTGGTCCGAAAAATCATCTTGTCCTCTGAACGTATGCTGCTCAAAGTTTGGCTTCTGTGGAACAACGTCAGAATTCTGTGGGAAGAAAACAGTGAAACAGCCCTCTTGCAATAATTCAACGCACACATTAGAGCGTGTAGTTGGATACTATGAGACTTGGAGCACTCGGCGTCGATGCAAGCAGTTCTGGCCGGAGCAAATTCCTTTGGGAGTTTATACCCATATCAATGTGGCCTTTGCAGTCATTGACCCAGATACATTCGAGGTTCGACCTTCTTTGACTGCAGATATTGAGCTATTCAAGCGAGTCGCCCGTCTCAAGCAAGAAGATCCTGATCTCAAAGTGTATATCGCTATTGGAGGTTGGAGCTATAATGACCTTGGCCCAACTGCAACGACATTTTCTGACCTGGCCGCATCGACATCTAATCAAAACAAGTTCTTTAATTCTCTCACAAAGTTCATGTCCACATATGACTTGGATGGCGTAGACATCGACTGGGAATATCCAGCAGCGGACGATCGAAGTGGTCGTCCAGAAGACTTTGACAACTTTCCCAAGTTCTTAAAGAATCTCAAAGCGGCACTCAAAAGAACTGGTGGTCGAGATGGTCTTAGTATAACTCTGCCTGCCTCTTTCTGGTACTTGCAACACTTTGACATCGGAAATATGAAGAAAAGTGTGGACTTCTTCAATATCATGACCTACGATCTTCATGGAACTTGGGACAAAGGAAACAAATGGACTGGTGAATTCCTCGACGCGCATACCAATCTCACTGAGATTAAAGCTTCTCTGGATCTACTATGGCGAAACAATACAATATTCCACCGGATCAGGTAGTTCTTGGAATAGCATTTTACGGCAGAGCATATACGATTGCAGACCCATCATGTACTAAGCCTGGCTGCCTTTTTGCGTCCGGGGCGGAGGCTGGAGACTGCAGTCATGAGGTTGGGATTCTGATGAACTCCGAGATTGACGAAATTATCGCGGGAAAACGCCCCAGAATCACATACGATAAAGATGCTGCAGTGAAGATGATCACATGGGATGATAATCAATGGGTATCCTATGATGATATCGACACCTTCAAGCTCAAAGCCGACTTTGCCCGAGGGAAATGCTTAGGTGGCCTTATGGTATGGGCAGTAAGCCATGACCATACCAATGGGACTTACTCCCTTGCCCTGGGAGAAGCAGCCCAACGCAAGTTTAAAGCTCTGCCCGACACAATCAAAACAGACGACACAATCAAAATCAAACATGATCAGTGCAAATGGACAAACTGTGGAGACCTCTGCCCAGATGGATGGGTTCTGCTCCGCCGTCATGACGATGATAGACATCATGATGGTGAGTGGATGCTTGATGATGGAGGCTGTATCTTCAAAAATCAGGACCATCGTCTGTGCTGCCCTCCTGATCAAGATGCTCCGACTTGCGGCTGGTACACTTTCAACAACGGTGACTGTGAAGGCAAGTGTCCAGATGGTAGTTTTGAACTTGGCGGGACCGATCGTGGATGTTCAACTGCATTTGGTAATTACCAAGCTGCCTGCTGTACGAGTGGTCAAAAGAGTACTGCGCTCTATGAGAAATGCGAATGGGGTGCTTCATTCGAATGCGATTCATGGAAATGCCCAGCAGAAAAGACCGATGTTCTCCTTAAGTCATGCAATGGCAATGGAGGATCGGCTTGCGGTGGCGACTGGAGAACCAACCTGAATGAGGAGCGCAAATATTGCTGTGACAGCTCTGATGAAAACATGACTTGCGACGACTGCGAGTGGCTTGACGACTATAGCGAAACAGGATACCAAGTCATTCCTGCCGATGGTGGTAGTGGAAGTGGTGGGAGTGGCTACTGCTTCTCAAGCTGTCCCAAGGACAAAGTACGGGTAGCTATGGAGCACTACAATACTTGTAACAAAAAAACTGGCTCCCGTGCAAAGTGCTGTTCTCCCAACTACACCACGACCCAAAAAAGGTAGACCCTATGGTGGAGCTTTGGACGGCTGATCTTAAAAACTGGTTGAAAAATCCTACATGCTCTACCGGCTATGGGTACGGCTACGATGATACCTTTGGTGTGGGCTACGATAAAAGAGGCTTCACAGACATGTTGCCTATAGAATATGCACCTCGGTATGCTGGCACCTCGGGAACATCTTTGGAGAAACGTCAAGATCAACAAGTACTCTTCATGAGCAATTCCATTCTGATTGTTGCGACTGATATCATCTACACCTATCGCATGACCAGCAGGACAAACAAAGCCGTCAAGGAAATCAAGGTGTGGAACGAAGTAATTGCCGCTCGGTACACTTATCTAGCGACTTCCACCCTTATACCATTTTTGAGAGATGCTACAGGTGAACTGTTTTCTGTAGTTGCAGAGGATCTTGCAGGTCGCATCATTTGCAACCTAGAGTACTGGAACCAGATGATCAAGGATTGTACAGCTCCCAGTACTTTAGATGAAGTCTGCGCTATCAGCGATCTTGACGGTTTTGATGATGAATATTGACCCCGATACCTACGGAACGAATGGTGCATCAACCAAACGAGCTTTTCACAGTCTGGACAAATGTGATGGAGCTCCCAGGGATTTCACCGTTGATTGCGGTACTGACCCAATTACTGGACAGCAGCGAATCATGATTATTACATCAGTGGCCTATCCAAATGGTGGCAATGGTAACAACCTTGCAAATGCCAATGGACTAACAGTGCGATTTGCGGTCGCAAATCAACATGTATGCACTGATACCTCTATTGATCCTAACGCGCCCAACAATCTTTGGACGTGGGTCAGTAAGTGCTCCCAAATCATGATGCATTGAATTATTCCCATGGGGCGATATGGTACATGTATTAACCCTTCTACTTCTTCATAGCTGAGCATATTATCGAGCTTCAATTGATTCCTCGCTCAATTGAATTTATGGTTACTGGAACTTTACCTGCTGTGCAGGGCTTGCCAGACTTCAGCACTGGGAGCAAACGTATGCCCTGGGACATTGCACAACTACTGAATCAGGATTATTCGACATGGGCTAGCGGCCAAACCACAGCAACTGGAACTCCAATTATTCGGATATTTGACAGTCTCGGCCCAAAGATTAACCCCGCTCGATTAGTTAATACTGAAACTCACTTGAACTCGATGAAAGGAAGGGTATGTTAATATGATAAGCCTTCTCCTTGCAATTTTGATGCAGTAAAGAGAAAATCGCTAAACGGTTGATTATAGCTCTTCGCAGGGAAGCAGCCGCTTGATGATGATACTTGGAGGAATCTAAACGTGGCAGATGAGAGAGCTGGACGGGCTGTAATCAATGAAATACGAATGGTACGCGAAGCCTCCTTCAATCATTCATTTATGTGCTAACTTCATTCGTTAAATTCAGGTTACAGCTGTGTTCGAGTACTTGAACCAGCAGCTTGTTAACCGTCACCTTGTTGACACATATGGTGCGGCTAATTACGAATTGCGTGTGTTCCAAAAAGCAGTCAACAGTGTGTTCGGGCAAAGAGACTTCAGTGCGCCTAATCTGTTTAGAACTTTCATGACAAATTTCATGCGACGAATGGCTGAGTGGGCCTCCAATTGGCTTAATTCGCGTATTGATGAGCTACTTGTCACATGGCAAGCGGTGCAAAATGCAGCTACCCCGGGATCGCATGCATATCAGGTCGCAACAACCTACATGGGTGATCAGGAGGAGCTCAAAGAGTTGGTTCGACTAAGAGTGATTTTTGACGACTCAATCTTCGTTTTTATGCACACATCAGGTAGCTAGTTGCTTCAAGTTGGTTTTTAGCTGACAGAAAGGAGGAAGGTGGAGTATTTTCCAATGATATGACTGGAAAAGATGGGCGGAAAGAAGAATACATTTTCTACGGATGATGACACATTTTCAATGTTTATATGATGCTTACTATCTAGTACTATGTACATAAAAATCAGCAAGGACACACATGCATCAGATCAGTTGTATGGCCATTTGGAATTCTCAAGTCGGGTAATGTGCCAGGAAGTTGGCTCCCGCCAAGAGCTTGGGTACAATTTGTTAGCATTGACGTAATGGAAATCCTGCCAAATTTCTCTGAGCGAGAAACCATCAGACATGAATTCGTAGAAACGGTAAAAGATCTGGGTGATGCTGATTTTGAGGCGGCCATCATAGCCATCCTCATCTGGCCGCGACAGAGGCCAGTCCGGATCAATTGCCCATATCCATCCATAGTACATATCTGGGCCATATGTGCCACAAGCTGAAAGGGCCTCGTCTGTCAACAAGAAGAACACATTTTTGAGAACACCGGGCTTTAAGTCACCCCTCTCGCGGCGATCACGAAAGTCTCTGGCTGATTGTTAGCAATGTCTTTAATATTATGTAGGAAAACTCACTGCTGTAAATGGCCGATGTCACTTTCATCGGCGTCGAATGGGACAAATTGAGCGAATTTGTGGTCGTGTATCTCTTCATATCCCTCAAAAAAGAAAGACATCTCAAGGACCTCGGCAAATAGCGCCCTAAACTCATCCAGTCTGGCCATTCCTTTCTGATGGTAAAAGACATAGCCCCAGCTCTTATCATCTTCTCGAACGACAATCTTTCGCACCCAGTCTTTCAGATCTGGGAATGGTTCTTGTTTTCGCTTTTCATGCCTTGCCATATACTCATCATACTTTTTCTGAGGAAATACCTCATTCACAGCTTGAATGGCCTGAAGCTCTATTGGTGAAAGAACTGCTTCTTGTGCCTGTTTCAGCTTATCGAAAAGATCAGGACGCATCTGCAGCCACGCGAATTGATCACCCTTGTCAAGAATTCGCGTAATGCGGAAATGATCGTGAATCAGACGACATTCCGCGTATGTGAGGGATTGACGGTCCGTAGCTGCCTTTTGAAGCAAGTTTTCAACTGACATACCCAAGTATTTGGTTGTGTTGGCCTGCATCTCTTCTAAAGGCGGCCATTGCATCAGCTGGTGTTTTTCATCAGGTGAAATTTCCGCTGGATGCTGGATTGCTTTGTCCCAGAGAGGCTCTAATTGAGCAAACTCTTCTAGTGTTTTGGCCATGGTGGGCAGAAAGGGATAGCTTTGCCAACGTCTCCAAAGTTATTGTTCACGTCCACGGCTGGATTTCCGAGGTTGATCCTATGAAACCAAAGGGTGGATTATATGCGGATGCGACCGGTCTTTATACCCATGCATGGTTTTCGAGCTACTGGCCCTAGTACAACCTTGGAATACGCGACAAACGCAGGTCTCACAGGGTCCACGGGCGTTTTTGCGGAAACGCCAAGGTTTCCGAAAAATACACAGGTAATTCACATGAATCTTAACACAACCCGCACGGGACGTATCATATCCGCAGTTCACACTACGACATACTATCTGCAATTTATCTCAGAGGTTCAACCTTTGGAAGCTTGAATTATCAATGCTTCTTCCGTCAGCAGCAAGGACCCAATAAATTGTCTAAGTGTATCAGCGTTTTGTCTTGAGTATATATAGGGTCCCAGGAGGCCTTGAGCTCCCAGTCACTCTTTTGACGGCCCTAGCTCTTGAAGTCCTGCCAAGTGGATCGGCTGTTTGGTGAAGGTGGAAGGAATGATGCTGACCTTAAGTGGGATATACAGAATGCAGGTTCAAAAGGGAACTGGAACCTGCTCCTGGAGGTGAGTCATCGATCGCCTAACCTGCACCATTTTCTCCTTGCCTAGCTGTCTACGGCACTCATCCAAGCCGCTGAGGCCACGTGACTGTAGTCTCAAGATCCAGCCAAGGCAGTCTATAGCGGTATGTCAAAAGTTTACGTTTCCCCATATATATACTTAATCATATGATTACAAGCTATAACTATGATCTTATTATCAGGATGTTGACTGGCTATGGCACCCAGTGCTTCATTGATCAAAAGGTTCACTATATTGCTTCAAGGGGCTTGGATATAATAATGTGGTAGTATCAATAAATCCGACAACAGCAGCTTCATAGCTACAGTACAGTTCACCCTAGCCCCAGACGAGCCAATGTGTTGATGATACCCTAACCCGATCAAACACCCTCTCTTTTCCTCAATACAACCATTTTGGTTGAATCAGGATAAATGAAAAACCGATCAATCTCACTCTTTGGTCTTCCCTCTCCCTTATCCATCAACTTAACATCAAACTGCATTACCAACAAGCCCAGCAATAACTTCAACACGATGGCGGCAAACCACCGCCCCGGACAAGCCTGCAGGCCGTATCCAAAATGCAGCGACGTCTCATTCACAGCAACGTATTGATACTTTGTGCTGGGCTTTCCTGTCCTTTCAAATTCGGCTTGTTGGAGGTTGTGGAAGCGTAGGCCGTCGAATGTCTCGGGAGAGGAAAAGTGCGACTCATCGAGGCCGATGTGGTAGGATGGGGCGGCAATGTGGGATCCTTTGGGGATGTGCGTACCGTCTGCGAGGTCTATGTTTTCAAGGGCTTTGCGTTCGAAGGATACTACTGATAGGTTAGAAAGTAGGTTGGAGGGAGGGTTGAAGATGTACCCAAAGCGAGGGGCGTGATGCGTTGGGACTCTTTCAAGAAACCGTCCAATTTGGTCATCTTCCCGAATGCTTCCTTTGTCGGTCGCTTTTCCTCGCAACTGTCACAAACAGACTCAAACTCTTCCCTGATGATAGGTATATATTCTGGTCTCGCCGCCAGATCGAACAACGCCTGTGTAGCTGCAAAAGCAACCGTGTACGTCGTGGGAACCGTCGCCAGAATCTGAATCATACTCTGATGTTCATTCGTCCTATCCTTCTCAGTAGAATCATCCCAAACCCACTGCAACATCGTGTTCGGTTTATTGGATTCACTAATCTTCGCCTTCCGTCTCTTCGCAAACTCTGGCGCCAGAATCTCGCTCATTCTCGCTTTCATTGTATTTACGCGTCGTAGTTGTGGCAGTGTATATTGAACCAGAGGACGGAGGAATCTGGGCCATTGCGTGATTGCTGAAATTGATGCGAAAAAGTTAATCGGATACTGTGTGTATAGATTGAGCCATTCTGCGTTCCGGCTGATTTCGGGGCCAACATTCACTCGCCCTGAAACGGAGCCGATGATGCGAAGCAGTTTTTCGAATGCTAGGATCGATTGCCATTTGTGCGAAGAGGGGAGTTCGCGGGTCATGGCGCGGTGCATCTCTTCGATTACATCAGGGAGTATGGTAGCTATATTACAGTTAATATCATGATATTTAACAGTATTGAATAGATCTACCAAGATTGTTATTCAAATTCACCTGTGTACACTTCATAAATGACGAAGAGCACATTGCATTGGTATACTTCGACTGGTATTGCTATATGGAGTCATCAGCAGTGCTTCATAGAGAGCAAGAGCAATACCAAGATAAAACTCACATCATGCACATGACTGGGAAGATCAACCCGCTTTTCCAGCCTAAGCAACGGAAGATATTTGTTTGGCAAAATGTACAAAGGATAGTCTGATGTCTGCATTCTCCAGATCGATGTGTCTTTGAACTACGACGAGTGAGCAGCGTAAAGAATATAACTTTAGTGGCGTGTAGAAAACCTTTTTATATCCATTTTGTAGAATTTCCTTCTCTCCCGGCCTATTTGAGAGACGTCTTTTCAATACAGCGAGAAGGGCCAGGGCACAAGATAGAAATGGCAGGTACATGATGAACATCCAGTTACCTTGGGCTAACACCCCAACAAGAGTAAGTGAAAGCATGAGGAGAAATTGGAAATAATAATAGAGAAGTAAAAAACCTGGTAGATAAATTTTCTGAGACTGTTGGATCGATCACTGGACCTTTCTCTGAGCTCAACATGATCTTTATATGTTCAGGAACTATCTTCAGACATCTTTCCAAGTCTCAAATCACATCGCATCTGATACTAAGCACCAGATACCCGAAGATTAATGAGGCATTTCTCTCATTGGGCAAATGCGAACTGCATGTTGGCGTTACATCCCGAGCTGTAACCTTTCAGCCATGATCCCTGTAATCATTCAGGCTGCGATAATAAACGCTCATACCTTGAAAACCCCCACCTCTGCCCACACATTTACCAAAAAAAACACTCAACTTACAGCCGCAGTCTATTTTCTAAACAACGTATTTGTAACATACACGATTTCTACCAATAAGGGCATGGGATTATTTGGGTTGGTACTCCCACGTTCATTACACACATTTGGCGTGCATCGTGGCTTTTGTGGATCTGCAGTGGAGGTATGTAGGAGTGATTCTGTAACCGAGATGTAGTTCACCATATTGTTTTTTCATTGGCTTAGACAAGCGGTAAAAGCTGATCACAGGAGTCACAGCCTTAATGGAGATCGAACTATAAAGCCTTATGATTGGCGGTGAGAATAGCCCCGCCTGTTTTAGTTTAACCTAATTGGTGTAGGTTGCAGCACAGCTTGATACGTATCAACTGCCCAAATCCTGGTAATGGGCAAGGCCAGATGTGGGTTGTTTCAGCAGAGTAGTGGCTCAGCTGAAAAATCTATTCAATGTGATAAGTCAATTCTTTCTAACCAATCAGACAATGGCACGTTATCGCGCATAGCCTAAATAGATGTTGGCAGTAGCTAGATCCATTCAGGGCTCGTGTCGAAGTACAAGGTTTTGTACGGGGTGTGAAGATTTAGTTTAATATTACGAACTCTGTAAGAAATCAATAGTGATAATAGTATTTAGGGAGGAGAGTAGCTTGGTCGGTTGAGCTTCTTTTTTAATAAAAATAAATGTCTCCTTCCTGTCTCAGCTCTGTCTCCATCAATCTCAGTTCAATCAACTCAACTCAATATCCCTCCCCCAACCAAGTCCGAAAACCCACAATGCACTCAAAAATGAGTGTAACCTGGACCGATATCAATGCCTTCGACGTCCCCGAGCACTTCAGTTGTTACCCTGCCGGCATTGCCAACAACGCCGTGGAAGTCGAGACAGCCATCAACAAAGTCATCGACGCTTCTTGTTCTTCTGGATCAAAGGAGTGGAAGAAAGCTAAGATCCGCCATTCAAACCCCGATAACAATCCTTTCGCTATTTGCCACTGTACTGCCTTTCCAGATCGGTTGATATTGCTTTCGTGTATCATTGAGCTGGCGTGGATAAATGATGGTGTGTACTGTGTTTTCTACGTGGATTACAAAAAGCTAACCGGTGAAGATGTTACCGAGGAACTGGAGCATAAAGCAGTAATTATTCCTAGTTCTCGTTTTGGTAGGTCTGGTTAATAATGTATTTTACAGGCAATGGCCAAACACGACATCCTCATCGAGGCAATGAGTTTTGAAAACCTCATCAAGGCTGATATCGGTTATTTCAATTCCCGCGAAATGCTCTTCGGACTGCTCGTCCAGAAAGCCTGTGGCGTAGACCCAGCATCCGCACCGGCAGTTGTCAAAGTCCTCACCAACTACCTTAGAACCTTCGATGCCAGCGATGAGGATTTCACGACAATGGATAAGTATAATCCGTATCGGGTGGCTAATTGTGGATACTGGTTAGACTACCCCCCTCTATACTCCTCACCTTCATACCCTGTCTAACGAAGGTGTTCACCTAGGATATCATCCTTCTTCATCCGGTGGGGAATGGATCTAACCCTAACTGATGCCGAATACGCCCAAATCGCCTCCTTCGATCTCTCTATGGGAATCATCCTCGGCCTCACAAACGACTACTACTCCTGGACTGTCGAAAAGGACCAACTAACGGACCGGATGAGGAATGCTGTCCGCGTGCTCATGAATGAGTATAATGTTCCTGATACTATTGCAAAGTCTCTACTTAGGGGATTGATTGTGGATGAGGAGGAAAAGGCGGCGAGGTTGAAGAGAGAGATTTTAGATGATGGACCGAGTGCTGCGGTGATGCAGTATATTGATGCGATTGAGTTGTATGTTGGGGGAAGTTGTTACTGGCATGCTACTGCTCCGAGATATAGAGTCTAGGTTTATCAACGTAATGAATGAATATAATCATGAATATGATCATGAATATGTATACGAAGTGGACTATATATATCATAAGATTTTAGCCGAGGTATGATTGAGGGATACTCGGTAGACAGATCATAGGGAAAAAAATTACTAATATTACAGAAACCATCCTCAATAGGACTTTATAAATAGTTTTCATATATATCAATAAAATATTAAATTATCAACATGTTTAAGAATAAATATACTTATAGAATAATAATATTAAGATTTTATATCTGGATTTTCAGAATAATCAAGAAATTTGTGCTCTAGTCTGCTGCCTGTATATCATGAATATATAGAAAAAAAATACATAATATTTATATATATAATATATATTCACATTTGTTATTTATGTTGGAATTGTTCATTAAAATTTCATTAAGATTCTCTAGTTCTAATCCTGGTAGATAAAAATTACTGGCATAAGTAAAATAAAAAGTCATATTTAAATTTTGACTTCCAACTTTTCTCCCATCCACTCCTCCTCCCTTCTCCTCTTCTGCTCAGAAATTCGGGTAGAGGGAACAGATTCCTCGGCACAGAAAAATCAGCATTGTTCACCTCTACTGGCTCGATGAAGTCGTTCGTGTTCTTCCCACAGCTGCCCTGGGAAATACGAGATGCAATCTGGCGATTATGCCTCCCGAGCCCTCAGATAGTAGAATTTGATCGTCCGATCTGTGACAATGAACCCTGCCGTAGATTTTGTGGGGTCCATCATGGCTATCACCTCCGACTTCTGGCCCTTGCAGCTGTGTGCCAGGAGTCACGCCTGCTGCTTCTTCGAGAATATTACAACCCTGAGGCGGACGCCGAGATCCCGCGTCCGTACTATCCCGCCGCATACGAGCACGTTCTTCCGACCGTGAATCGATATTCTGCATTTCAAATGGGACGAAGGAGGAATGGGCGCATATCTCTGGAACGACGAGGACAACGCAATCCCATACTTTTGCGCGGTGACTCGGAAAGCAGTGCACAATCCGATCTCCATCACTGACCGACACCTTCGGCAAAAATTCGACGAACCCTTCTTCGCCGGCAGCGTTCGCGTTGCTGCACTGGACAAGTATGCAATGCGCGACCACTGATTGCTTTTAATACGGACTGTCAGTTTTGACTTCAAGGACGACGCTGAAACACTGCGGTCCGGGTTGTTCGGGAAATTCGAGCTGGACCCTGTGCGCTACCTCGATCCCAATGACTCAAAAACCCTGCAACGTTACCATCAGCTCTGGCGAACGCAAAACCCCACTATTATCACCACCTGCACCACTACTGGTCCTGCCGCTCCAATAACACCATGGACCCGAGAGATCCAGCAGGCGGCCGCCGCAGAGTTCTTCGCGCTTCTGGAAGATGATCACCAGCCACTGCGTGACCGACTCGCGCTGTGGAAGGAATACATTGACCGTGGCTGGGTTTGGAATGTATTCTACCGGATGGCTGAAGAGGCCAAGGCCAGAGCCCCGGTAAGCGTTCCAGATCGTGACGTGCTGTTCCTTCCGCCCTACCCTGGCTACGACTGGCAAGATGATGAGGAGACTTTCGATTACTTTCAATCCAAATATACGCTCAACCGGGACAATCCTTGGATACAGGGAGTTTTGGACGAAATGCCCGTCTTCCAGCCGATGATTCTCTTCCGCCATCGGATGGGGATCAGGTGCACCGGCCGGTAGACTTTAGCTAACAGGGCATTTATACGTAGTAGAGGGGTCTTGAACGGAACTCCGCCGTCCTCACAAACTAAAGTTCGCATCGTGACTCATGTAGTGTGAAGTAAAATCGCATCCTTTCTATATTTGAGTACTATATTCCTTCACTACTACTGACAATCAGTCAGCGCTGTTTTAAATCAGACTTACCACCGTTAGTATGTATCTTTTTTTTTTTTCAGATTATCGTTGCTTTCCTTGGCTGCTTATTCCATCAGTTGCCTAATCTTCATGTCGCTGTTTTGGGTATTTTGACAGAGTTAAATATTTGCGGCCAGAGTGCCAATCGATATAGGAGTTACCTATACTGAGTAGATGCCCTTATCAGGCTGATACAGGCCATGTAGGCAATGACCGTCCACGAAAGTCCAGCCATTGTGATCTACTATGTCACGATTCAAACCAACTTTGCTAAGTTATATACATTCAGCCATTGAACATTGCTTAGCCTGACGTGGAGTTGAGGTCCATGCATCCCCTAATGCCTTCGCCCTTCCGGATACAAGCTAGAATCATTCTCTGCCAGCGCTTAGATTCATCCGTTTGATCCCAAGTGTTGATTTACGACCGGCTACCGAGAAGTAATACGATGTAGTTGTCAGACCACTTGTTTTGGTGACTGCCTCATAGTGCAAGGGCTCTACCAGGACAGTGCGGGTCAGATCTATTAGGCAATTATAGCTCTACACTACAACCGTGAAGTGATACTAGCTTCATTTTCGATAGCTCTACGCTTCTTTTCTCAGGGGATAGCCTGGATAGTACAGTTACTTTGAGGCTTGAGCATTACTAGAAAAATATATATTACGAGGGGTAATTCATGCGCAGTGAAGGAAGGTCTGATAGAGCTACTACTACTAGTAATGATACTAGTGTTGTCAGCTGTTATATCCACCTGCCAACCTCTATGAGCTTCATTATCTATAGCCATGAGCATCTTCACGTCGCCAGTCCTTATTACACTATGCCTAGAAAGATTCTTTCTTTGGTGTACCTCAGACTGTGGGCTAACATATTGTGTGCTAATCCTATTACACGCTATTGAGTAGTAAATATAACCTAGATGAATCAGGATGCTGCAGGAAATAAAAAGGCAAGGCTAACGAGAACCACCGTACACTGGACAGGCAGTCTAGTCTCTCGCATCATACTCGGTCTCCAGATCTGAATTATCGAAGACAAGCTGTCGATTAGAAAAGTTATCGTCACGCGATGAAATGCATCTGTGGTCGGATACGTCCGGATTAACTCTTCCTGTCAACTTCGCTTTCGTTTCCGGCGCTAGAGCCATAGGCCTATCACCCGTGACTCGTCGTATTTGGATAGGGCCTGCACCAGACCGACAGACTTCCAGACTAGTCATTGAACTTTTTGCATAATGTACCAGCTCGTGGAGCAGCCAAGCCACCCGTCTCAGCATTTCTTCATTTTCTCGTTCCCACCGAATGATTTCGTCTCGCATGTCCTGTACTCGGATCTCCTCAAACAGACCGCGGTTGTGATAGGCCACGATAAGGGTCGGGATCTGGGATACCCACAGACGAGGGGTTAGGTCGGTCATATCAATTTCTTTTTTGATGGCCTTTGTCTTGAAGTCAACCATTGACCGAGTTTTAATATCAATGATATCACGCTGGTGGACCCGTCGCTTACCTTCCTGAATCGTAAGTTTTCCGGGGTGTTCAACAGGAACAGGACCGTGGTCTTCTTGAAGCCTTGCTATCAAGCCACCAATGTCGGGGTCTACATTCCCAGACGAGGTGTCCCTGCTTATCTGTAGGTTACTGAATGACATTCCTGGGGACTGCTTCGGAACATAACCATCTGATTCGAATCGAAGGAGAAGGTCCAGGCCTCCAAAGGTATACTTTATTATTCGCTGGTGTGATTCGGAACCAGCAAGTCCCGGTCCCCACATTGTATATTCATCAAGGAATGTATGACCGTAACCACGGACATCTGGGATCAGATCTGTGGGCGAATTCTCCCTTCGGATGAAGAATACGCTATCTCCAGCCGTTTCCATTATGAACCTGAAGTCTTTGTCCACGCCTCGAGCGAACCGGACGAGGTTTCCGAGAATACTGGAGCAGGTTACTATATCGATATTGGCGATATCGTAGTCTGGGCTCTGCCTTTTGATTGCCTCAACGGAAGCCTGCCACGGATAAGAAGGAAACCTGGCCGCATTAGGATCGCGAAAGTACTCCCCCCGGTCGGGTTTTAGCTGGCGGCCTTCGGTTGCGGGGCTCCAGATAGGCGGTTCGCCTTGCAGAGTGATTTCTGTCACTATTATTGCGCCAGTGACCGCCGGGTGGCAGGGGGAAACATACCGGGTACGAGAATTGATGGTGAGGCTCGGCCTAGCCATGTGTACGAACTGACATACTCGCAGGATGTAATTTGGGGGCATTCCTCGGATCCCTCGAGTTCAGTATTGTCAATCTCCAACAGTAGAGGACCGTATGGGGGCGCGGGGGATTTGACAGCTGAGCCTTGTCTGTTCCCAGGTTGTCTGGCACCCGACCAGCCGCGCCGAGCACCGCGAGGTTTGGGTGGATAAAGGCCTGATGGAGCCCTCCACATGATGATATTCGCTGTGGTTGATAGAATCTCCAGGTTGATTGAGTTGATCTTTCACCAATGATACCAGGTGGGGTTGGGCATAGTCGAGATCGAGGAGTGCTCGCCGGGTACCAAAGCATGGCCCGCGATCGCACCCCGGTCAATTGTGCGACCATTCACATGTCGGCCTCGTCATTCACCTAACATTGGTTTTATCTCCCTCCCTCCCTTGCAGGCGGGGTTCTGGCGGGGTTTAGCTATCTCTGCTCTGCTCTCGACTCATCTACCCTCAATGATCGCACTTTCCCTTCTCTGCGATCAGCCATATTGGCTTCCCCTTTCCCAATGGCGACACGCTCCGATAGGCTCTCCAAGCACTTGGTGCTCCTTGAGAAGGGCAAGAGACAGGTGACAAAACCAGGTGATGCCAAACTGCTACTAGAAGCTCTTTGTGGTCAAGATAACCATTTACGCTGTATCGAAAGAGTGCTTGCTTCCCCCGCTCTGAGCGATTCGCTTCAGAACAGCTTCCGTCTGGATTTATCGCCGGAGTTTATCAACAATTCCGTGGCCCCATTCCTCAGCTACATACAGCACCCATCAATCGAGGATTTTGGGAGTGGACAATTTCTCCGTCAAATGGTCTCCAGTATCATCGAACCGCCTACATTCTGGAATGCTTTTGTTCGGCTCCACAGCCAGAAAAAGCTTAATGACCAGGCTGACCGAGGCTTTGCATGGTTGCTCCTTAAAATAATCAGTACTCAGGGCTGCCCCAGTGAAATCATCGCCACCGCGCAGCAAATTTCGCAGGCCCGGACATTTCTCGTTTCATCCTCCCTAGAGGTTCGCACCATCGGCTATCGCATTGATGGCATCCTGAAGACCCTCAGAACTAGGGTAGACGGGAAGGATGACTTCCGGCCCGGTGGCAGACATGACAATGACTTTGAGTGCTTTCGTGATATCTCTATCCTGCCAACTCCAGATGAGATCGCTTCGACGAAGAGGCCCTTCTATCGGCGTATGGATGACATCTACCAGGTTTCAGTGGATGAACGATCGGTCGCTCATTACGATAACCAGTTTCGCCTGTTGAGAGAAGACATGCTAGCAGAACTGAGAAGTGATCTTCAGCTTGCTCGTGGTCAGAGAAAGGGGCGAAGATCGGCCTTGACCATCTATGGACTCCAGCTGACTGGCGTCAGCTGTGGTGAGGAGGAGAACCGTCGAAGGGCCTGTAGTGTTCAATTCAAATGCACAAAAGGCATCCCCCGATTATCCCACCTGCCCCAGGCCGAACGTAAACAGTTACTGAGTGATACTCCCAACTTCCTGAAGCACCAGACCTTTGGGTGCTTGCTAGATAAGATGGAGATTGTCGGGTTTGCTTCTTTAGATCGTGAGTCGTCAGATCTCACAGATGACGTCCCGACGGTCGCGTTGAGCGTGTCTGGTGATGCCGCCCTCTACCGCGTTCTCGCATGCGCTAAGATGGGGCTCAAGTTTGCATTCCTGGTTGTCAACACTCCCATTTTTGCATATGAGCCAATTCTCCTGCGATTGCAATCGGTGATAGAATACCCATTGTCAAACATACTGCTTGCGCCAGCTCCCTCACCGGAGCGGCTGACGTTGGATGAAAAGCTTGAGACTATTGTTGAACGGATACGAAGCAGCGAGGGCCAGTCACTTCATCGAATTATCCATACCACGAAGAGCATATCCCTGGACAAATCGCAGCTTCAATCTCTCTTGGACGGTTTGCAGCAAAGCATAAGCACAATCCAAGGGCCACCTGGTGAATCTACACCTGCTCTCTGAACTGTTATGTTAAAGGCTAACAAGTGCCATTACAGGAACGGGGAAGTCATTTCTCGGTGCCCTGATTGCCAAGATTTTGCATGATGAAACAAGGAAGACGCTCATGATTATTTGCTACACGAACCATGCACTGGATCAGTTCCTTGAGGACCTTCTGGATATTGGCATCCCACCCACGTCCATGGTAAGGCTTGGTTCCAAATCTACGCCGCGTACAAAGGAGCTGGGGCTGTTTGAGCAGTCTCGAGGCACGTCGAGCGTTGATTCATGGTCTTTTGTGAGCCAGAAAAGGGAGGAACTAGGAGAAGCAGTGAAGGAGTTGCAATCTTACTCCGCAGAGTACAGCCGTGACTCCATTTCCAAAGATGACATGCTCGAATACTTGGAGTTTTCCGAGGACAGCACGTTCTTCGACGCATTCACCGTTCCCGAAGAGCCGACTGGTATGCAACGCATCGGAAGACGAGGCAAAAGTGTTGGAAAATACTATCTCTGGGATGCATGGCGACATGGGCGGGACCCGGGTACTCTCCGCGACCTCATCAGTCCTCAGCACGCTTATATCTGGACGATGG